TCTTAACTAGAAAAAGCAGGAAAAAAACAAAGCAAATAAATCAGTCAATTTTGATTAATGGATATAATTCATTCATAATGTAGTAGTATATTCAGGTTTAGAAAAGTAAAGTCTTTGGTGAGTAAAATTCAATTCCTGGTAACTCCACAGCGACATCCTTCTAGTTTCCTTAGCAACAGAACAAAATTGGTTTTGCCACTGCCTCATTTTGGGATGGTTTTCTATTTCCCATTATAATCCACAGCCAGAGTATTTCCTGGTGATCTCCTAGCCAGGTAAGGTTGACTACTAATTCTATCGAGCTGGATGAAGGCAGCATTTCTTAAAATAAAATAATAATAAAAATAATAAAAATAAAAATAAGAATTATTTTTTAAAAGTAATATAAGGTTATTCTCTCTCAAGAGAGATTCTAGCAGCTTTTGCCACTGTGGATGAATTGTCAAAACCTCTTTTTATTCTATTTACTTCATTTGTTTGTGTATAATTCCTGAGTGTTCTTGTTCTTTTTTTGTTTTTTTGGACCTAACACAAAAGTGATCCATTTTGGACAAATCATAGTTAACAGAGAAAACAAGCACATAAATTAAATAAATTTAGCACGAGTGTATGTCAATGTGTGTGTATACATACATACATACATATATTTATTTATATTGTATAAACTATATATATTCTTTATTGTATTATTAATTTATTTTAAATTTAGGGAGCCACTTTGGTGTAGTGGTTAAGGTCCTGAACTATAAAACATGAGACTGTGAGTTCTAGATCTGTCCTAGTCATGAAATCCAGTTGGGTGACTTTGGGCCAGTCACGCTCTCTCAGCCCAACTCACCTCACAGGATTGTTGTGGGGAAAACAGGAGGACAAAAGAGTAATTGGTATGTTCACGGCCTTGAGCTGTATATGAAAAAAAAGATGGGATAAAAATCTTATTTTTTAAAAAAAGAATTAAATGCTGACCTGTTGCGTTCTGCAAACCTCTCCAGATTTTTTAACCTTTGCTTCTGGTGCATGTTTGCATGAAGAGGCAGTGGATTGCAGTCCATGATGGTCAAGAGTGCAGTAAGTCGTTTGATACAATCTATACTGTTTGCAAAAACCATGGTTCTGCCTGGATGTTGAAGCAGAAAATAATAAAGATAGTAATCTTTCTCTTCTGTATCACAATGAATTCTGGTCTCTGTGAGAGTCTCCACAGTTGCCTCTTTTCTGGTCAAATCTATCACTTTGGGCTTTCCCTTGATGCCCACTTTTTGCATCAACATTTCCAGCTTGATCTTCCTGTCAATTTTGATAGCATTTTTCTTCTGCAGAACTCTAGTGGGAGTTTGATGGATCAAAGTCAGGGTGGCAGAGAAGACAAATATTTGACGTTTTGGGTTATGTTGTGTGTCACTCAACATTTCCAGCAACTGAGACAGCTCTAAGAAATGTCCCCTCTCCACCATCCGGTCTGCTTCATCAATCACCAGGCATCTGTCGGATGGATGCAAGACAGTTTGAAATATTTTATACAAGACATTTGAAAATGAAAGAGGGTTCAGAAAAGCCTAATTTTTTTCCCATAGCAGCTATAGCATGTCCTTAGCTTGATCCCATCAGGACATTTCCAATGTTATTGCACTGATTATGCGCTCACACTTATTTAAAATACTCTGAAAACAGCATCTTCCCATCAGATTTTATTATATACATATCTTCATTGCACCTATCAGCAGCTTTCAGATTATAAATGGGTTATCATTTTTTGTTGATGTACAACAAGTTAAGGGAATATCCTAGAAAAGCCCAGACATATAATAAAATGATGTACATGTAGTCCTTGACTCATGACCACAGTTAAGTCCAGAACTTGTGTTGCTGTGCAATGGGATTATTAAGTGAGTCACATCTAATTTTATGACCTTGTTTCTCATGGGTCATTAAGCAAATCACCACAATCATTAAGTGAACCATGTGGCTGTTCAGCAAATCTGTTAATGTACAAGATTTATGCAATATACTGTATAACCCATACTTAGCTGAGTTCACATATTATGTGAACCAACAATCAGACCCATTGCATAATGTTTATCTCCAATTACAGTTAATAGCAGGACAGTAAAATATTTAAGAGAAATGAGGAATCTGATTGACCAATAATAAAAAAAACACACTGTTATCATCATGCACCTTGATACAATTAAGATTAGCTTATCAGTTATTACTTTCTGAGTAGATCCAAACTTTAATTGCTACTAATTTGATTACTGTAAGGCATCCAGTGTGGGCAACTCTTAAAAAGCGACTGAAAGTTGCAAAATACAGCAGCTGAATTGTTAACAAGCATATTTATTTATTTATTAAATGTACCTGCTGTCCTCTAAAAAGCAATTCTGGACAGTTTATTCTGGGCAGTGTTTATATTTATAATTTATCATTTTATTTAAAACATAAATATAAAAAACATTAAAACATTAAATACGATCATGATATCGTACAATAGCCAAGTGCTTACTGAGATAATTTAAGCTGTGATTGGCCCAAAGAGTTTAGCGTCCGATTATCAGAGCGATTGCTGCTTTTTCTAAAAATTGTTCTAATTACTACAATCAATAAGAATAGCTCTTGTGAAAATGCCCTTGATGTCAGAAAACTTGAAGGATTTTTTTTTAAAATTCACCCGAGCAATAGAAATAATTTAACCTAAACTCTCCCTATATTTACAAAGGCCAAAACAAATTTTCATAATCGATAAAGCAATTAAGCATTTTTAAAAACACAAACCCACTTCTGCACCTGTTAATGATACAAATGCTATGAAATCACCGAGACTAATCTCCTGGTTCGATTGCAATATTATTTCATACCTACTTTAAAAAGTAGCTCAATTATTAATGTGACAATTTGGAACTCAAGGAAGAGTCTCAATGATTCTGCATAACCATATTTTTTGTTAAGACCTGGAAATGTATAAGTACATCAAGAGTTTCAGCCTTGAAGAGACCCCTGTAATACCTGAGCTGCCAGAGATTGGAGAGATGGGGCTGCTTCTCCTGGATTAGCTCCCACAGGCGCCCTGGAGTTGCGATGACAATCTCTGGCTTCCTCTTCAACATCCTCTGCTGCTTTTGAGAAGCCATTCCTCCAACAAGAATGGCCGTTTTAATACCTGGAGCAAAGAAATGAACAAAACATGTAAATATATGAATCACTGCCCGTGCTATCTTATATTCAACTCTAGGGTATTTCTAGCAGAAGAATAATGACATTTACTTTGTGACAAGGTCCTGGGCAACGGATAGCTCAGTGTCCAAAGGATATGGGGCACATAACTGGGAATGTCACCTTGTCTTTTGCAAAAGCTTTAGGTATCCCTTTTGCTCCTTAACTTCCCCATGATGGGAAAAAAATCAAATTCTCCTCACCATACAGCTGAAATTAGGGGATTCTGCGCCAATATATATTACTTTACATTTAAACTGAATTGCCTTTGCCATTTGTTTGACTATTGATCCCTTCTAAACAGATCTTTCTAGAAAACATTTTGATCTTACCTGCAAAGCTCACTTTTTACTTCTAAATCAAGACTGTTTAAGTTTAAAAGTAGAAGTCTCAACACAGGGCCATGTGAAATTCAGCTTTTAATTTCCTCCACTGACAAAGCTGATTATTTATCCCTATTATTTGATTCCTTATTTTTAACCATTTAGCAATTCATAAAAAAAAATCTAATCCCATGGTAATTAAAGTTATTCAAGAGCCTTTGATGAAGAACTTTTTCAACACTTTTTAAAAAATACATGTATACAACAGTGAGAGTCAGTTCTGTGAGATGGGTGGCCATAAACATGTGATTTAAAAAGTAAATAAACACAGTTCCACTCATGTCCATGTTGATATCCTCAGTAAAAATGAGGAAGGTAAGATCTACTTTTGCAGACTCTCTGCTGATTTTTAATCTATGTATAAGTTCAATTTATTGGCATGTTAACTTATTCAATCATTTAATAAAAAGCTACAATATGATATGTACATTTAAAAGATTATTTGTCAGAAAGTGTGACTGTTCTCAAGCCATTAAGATCAGTACCGATCAGAGTTGAAAAATATGGCACTGTCAATTTATTGCTAGATGTTTCTGAATATGTGATTAAAAACACAGAATAATATTTCATGGAGCAAGACAAGGGGTTTTTAGATACTGCATTAACAGGCAAAACTCTTTATAGGGATTACCTCTAGCATTCCCTTGCAAATACTTCTAATTGTACTGTTCATAAATAAATCAAGGAGATACAGTAATAGCTCAATTGTAGGTCAGTGTGCTTTGCATGCAGACTTGTACGCAATTCAGAGGCGTAGCGTGGGGGGTGCAGGGGGGGCCGGCCGCACCGGGCGCAACATCTGGGGGGGCGCGCTCGCACTCGCAGCTCTCTGCCCCTGCCTGGCTCACTCACTCTCTCTGCAGTGCTGGCTGTGCGAATCCGAGCCGAGCCGCCGGGTCGCCGACGCCGCCCACTGTGGAGGGGGGCGCAAATTACTTGCCCCGGGTGCTGACAACCCACGCTATGCCACTGACGCAATTATGGACTAATTGGAAAAATACTCGGATCTGCCATGATAGTTACCTATGTTCCTCACTGATTTAATAAGGATCAAGCTACTATACTCTGTCATAGGAACAAGAAGTCCAAAGACCTATTCATAAATCTTAACAGGTAATCAGAGATAGAAATAAACTGAAAAGCCATATAAACCCAACTCCTGTCAATGCAGAACATATACTCAACTATGTCCGATAACTGCTCATCCAACTTCTGTTTAAAATTCCTCACAAAGAGAGGTCTTCACATCTGGGAGCAAACACAGCTTGCAGTGTCAGGAAGTCCCTCCTAACATTTAAATTAGCTTTCTTGTAATTTAAATCCATTCGTTTACATTCTGCCTTTAAGAACAGCAACAACAAAAAACTAATCTGTTTCATTACTTGTGAATAGGATTTATATAGAATGTAGATTGCATCCATATCTCAACAAATTAATAACAATCTTCTCTATTCTGAAGAAGCTTTGTTTTTTGCTACTCAGGGGCAGGAAAAGAAGCTAGCAAGACAGCAATATCTCAGCTAGTATTGAAAGCTAAGCATGTGTTCACAGCAAAAATGAAAATTAGGTAACTTTAAAAAAAAAAAAAAAAAAAAAAAGCGAGGATCCTCTCAGAAAGCTAGAGCTGCATTCCATATCATATTCTATACTTTTCCTGGAGGGAAGGGAAAAGGAGTTCTGCAGAAAAAATAAATATTAGGATAGGAAACCTGAAGCAATATTCTTACATTATGCACATTTGGAAGAGACGTACCTGTGAACTTGGCCACTGCATCAATATGATGCTTTACTTGGACAGCCAGTTCCCTTGTAGGAGTCAAGACCAATCCCAGAAGAGGATTATTTTTATCTTTAACAGAATTCTGTTTTGGGGAATCCACATCAAATCCTGAATCCTGCAATAACTCCATGGAGTTTACTGTCACAGGCTCATCGTAATCTGCAGGAGCACCAGTTTCATCCGTATCTGAATTTAGTCTCCTTGTTTCTTCACTTGTATCCTGCTTTGCCATTTCATCTTCACTGTCCGCTGTTTCTTCCAATGTGCTGGTTGTCATATTTTTTGATCTGTACCACTGTAGGATGGAATGGATCATTGGAATGGCAAAAGCTAGAGTCTTTCCACTCCCTAAAACACACACAAACATCAATATTAGGGCATATGGGAAGCCAATGTTATGCCTTAAAACACCAATTGTCCCTGTAAACCACAATTGCTACTACACAATTCACCCAAGGGATTTTTCTGACCTTTTTAGCTATTGAAGACATTATAAAAGGAAGGGTTCACTTTTGAGTGGCCAATGACCGGTCTGTGAGACGCCATGTTTTCGGGGCTGCGCTCAAAAAGTGGATGAAACCAGGAAAAGAACAAGATGTAAAGTAATATTTAATTAATTAAATGCATTAATAAAGCAAATGTTATATGTTGAATAATCCAACTGCTTCTATGAAGGTTAATCCTTGTCTCTTTTAAAGGTTGAACATTATCTCTTTTAAAAAAAGAAAGTTCCACGCTGTAGATCCCTCCCTGTGAAAGCCAACATGAATGAAAAGAGACTATTACGCTTATGTCTTATCCTTAGACAAGGATAGCAGGAAATAGAATAGTATTAGTTATTATTGTAATTAATACTTATATTAATATTTCAGAATTTTAGAAACTTCCTTTTGATCAATAATGAAGCACATCAGAGAAACTATCTTGAATTCTGAGGATGTGTCAGTCTTTCCAGGTAAGCCAGAAAAAAAAATACTGTTTTTTTTGTTAAGGGACCAGTATGTGCCAAAGCAGCACAAACAATTGTGCTGTATAAATATGCTAACAACAGACAGAATTATGCATTCTCTCCACAAAAACAAAAAAGAGTTTTTGTTCCCAAGCAACCCAGATTTTATTCTAAGGGATAAATTCAGTTACTGAATAAGGTTACACACTGCTCCTATTCCAGTGATTGAAATGAATAAAGTAGATCACTGCAGTCCTTATTGCTGATTTCACCCTCTCCAGTTTCTCCAGGCCCTGTTCAAATATTTTCAAAGTTAACTCTACATTCCCCCCCCAAAAAAAGGAATGAGTCTTCACACTTTTGCTGTGCATTTGTCAATTTACCAATTACAAAACCTAGAACCGTAGAAACAAGTAGACACAAATACAATATTTTACTATTCATATTTCAATTATTTTATGGTATGGAGGCATACCTGTTTCAGCAGCACCAAAGATATCCATGCTATCTCGAATTGCAGATGGTAGAGTTAGTGCTTGGATGGGAGTTGGTGTACTGAACCCCAATTCACTCAATGCCCAAAGGACAGGCTTAGGGACAAAGAGGCTCTTCCATGCAGTAACATCCGTTTTGTGATCTGATTTTGTGGATAAGACTTTGGCTGCCCAGTTATTAGCTTTTTTGGAAGCTCCAGTTGGTTCAAGAACATTTTGGAGAGAACATGGTTTCTTCTTTTTCCCTCTCTTCTTTTTCTTTGTGGGTTTTCTTTCCAGGCCCGTCAGCTCCGTTGGCTCATAATCATGTTGCTCATACTTAACAACGGCTTTTTTGCACCTGACCTCCTGTTCAATTACTTTTTCCTCTATTTCAAGTTCCTCCTTCTTCCTTTCTCCATGTTCTAAATTTTTCTTCTTCTTTCTCTTTTTTGGGGGAGTGGCGCTACATACTTTTTCAATCTGTTCATCATTACATTTTCTTTTGGCAGCTTTTTCTTCTCCCTCTTTCAAGGAAGACACCAGTTTGTAATTGGTAAGCTCTTCAAAACATATTATGCCTCCAAGCTCTTCATCAGCAAAGAGATTTGGATCAATCTCAATGGGTTTCCATTGCCCTGTAACTTTGATGCCTTTTTGTTTCAGTTTAGATGATGCTTTAAACTTGTTTCTTTTAAGCTTCATAATGGACCTTTAAACAAAGGACAAAGAGAAACACAGGAAGTAAGGCTACTAGTTTGTAACTGAGCCAGACAGCTGAAGATGATTGAATTACTGCCCCATCAATATGGAATTTTCATTCAAGAGTCTTTAGCCTATCTGTCAGACTGCCACATCTCAATCTGTCAGAAATTACTCAACATGGCAAGGTTAAGGTGAAACCAGCAAGCTGAACTGCTCTCTATTAATGTGGAGCCTCTCCTTATACCAGGGGTGTCAAACTGCCGGCCCGTGGGCCAGATGCGTCATCCAGAAGCCACAACCACCCCATTGCCGGCAATGGCAAAACTGTCCTGATACATTGCGCGACATCACGTGACGTCGCGAGTTTGACATGTCTGCCTTATACTCACAGTAATTATTAATTATAACAGATATTTAGCTTTTTGATTTTCAGTCTTGGAGCTATGTAACTGTTGGTTGTTAACAGCCAACATTTCTGCCTTAAGAAATTCAATCATCATAATATTTAAGAGTGTTTCTTACTAAAGGAATAGTTTAAAAAATAAAAAATACTCAATAGTAACATCTAGTTGATTTCTCCTTTATATGGAAATGGAATTTAAGATATAGAACCTTTTTTTTCTGCAGAGAAGTTTTATGTGTCCTTTGAAATTCTTGCACTCATGCTGGGATCAGAGAAGGAACAACAGTGCTGGAAAAATATTCACAGATGGCAGCTTTGATTAAAATCTAAGCTTTGCAGTATGATTTTTCTTAATTAAGCAATTAATGTCTTCAATTATAAATGCAGGGCTAAATAGGATGAGGTTGAAGTACAAATATTCATTTTGCTAGTTCATTTTGGAAAAATAGCAAAATTTTGAGTTCCCATTTTAGGTTTCCATAATAGGAGACAGTTTAAAACTTACAAGCTTAAAAAAATTATTCATTTTTCTAGTTAACTATTCAGTGTGATTCCCATTTCTTTACAAATTTTAAACTCTTTTCCTGTCTAATTGCCATCTGAATACAGATTATTTTTTTATAGATATTTTATTGGTTTTTAACTATAAAAATCTTCAGTGCCTGGTGTACAGCGTGTTGTCTTGGTTTATATTTTAACAAGAAAAAAAGGACAGTAATAATTAACAGTCAATAATGATTAAATGTGATAATTCCATAATTAATATATTAATTAATAATACATTTCTTTGATCTTCCCCTCTCCCATTTGTATTTTCCTTCTTCAACCTTAGCCAAAATATTATTCTTAATATTTTCAATATATAAATGATTAGGTATAGGCATTTTTTATATTTATACAAATAATAATAATCTCTATAACATTTTTTCAGCTTATAGTATTCTCATAACCATCATCTCATTAGTTCAGCATACATCCTATTTTTATAATTTTTGTTCGCTTAGATTCCTTTATATTCAATCTAATTCTTATCAGTCATAATTTCTTCATATTAGTCATCTCACTGTCTAAATTTTCCCATTTAGGTACATCATCCCAATATTTTATGTCATGCATTATAAAAATACTATACTTTTTAATCTGTCTTATAGTATCTATATATAACATATTTATATATATATAATTATATATATAATATGCGATCAAAATTATAATTATATATATATATAAATAATTTTGATCACATGACCACAGGGTTGCTGCAACAATTGTAGGTGTGAAAACTGGTCATAAGTTACTTTTTTTAGAGCTGTTGTAACTTCAAACAGTCACTAAACGAATGGTTGTAAGTCAAGGACTACCTGTACATATTATGAGCAGAAATTATAGTTTATCTTTAACAATATTGAAAGTCCAGTTTTTAAAAACGTAACAACTATTGGAACTTGATTGTTAATAATTCTTTTAGGAAGAAGAAGAAAAAATCTGTCCTATAAATACTCCTACTTCAACAGGCCTCAATATGGCCTTCATATGCCTGTGTTCTCTTCTTTGTTTTTGAACATTTGGTTCTGCATATTTTGTTCTGTAAAGCAATCTCCTCAAATTTGGTCTCAGTTGTAGATTTTTAATTGCAAGCATTATTCACATACAATTTATATAATTATTGGCAACTGCACCCTGGTCTAAGGATTTAAAAGTTGGTGGGAAGCAATTAACCGAGATTAAAAAAACTGAGTGTAGAAAAGGAATATTTTTAAAATATGCATATCAATTACACAGATAAAAGAAGCGGAAAGAAATATGTTTGGAATATATTCCCTTATAAAAAGGATTCAGAGACAGTTTTAAATATACCAGTATACGAAATACCATTCAAATATTAGTGAAAATTAAAAAGGGATTCATAACAATGCATGGTAATATTAATTTTATAGCTAATGTAACTATTTAGGTTGGTGAAACTGTAAAGCTGACAGGATTCCTCCAGCATGCCAAGCCATGATTTGCCCAACTATGGTTTACTGAATAATGCATAACTGGCTGACTTCAACCTGAGCTAAGCCATAAACCAAAATGAGTGATTATATAACTTACTAAACCTCATCATGCTTAGTATATGTGTATTCAGCCATTAACTTAATTTTTATTATATTGTTCATTATCATTTTTATTCTGCTTCTTTTCCCCAGAACACCCAATATCGTGCGTTGCCACTTCCAACTTTATTTTCACAATAGTGTTCTAAGAAGATTGTGTATGGTTATCCCAACAACATTTATTAAACATCATGGCTGAGTGAACAATTGAATTTAGGTCTTCTACACTGATGTCCTCATCAGGAAGTGGTTTTTAACATTTGGGATTGCCGTGTTCTTGACTGCCTGAAGTCACAACATTGTGAATAAAAGAAACTGACACCTGAAAAGTAAAAGTGATATGTCTAACCTCTTGCCACTGCAATGAAACCTATCCTGAATTTTTTTTAAAGGTTATACTTTTTGAGAATACATCAATATCCTTCTTGGACTGACTTGCCAATCATAACTATACCCTGTAGATTTTTTACAATTTCAATGTTATATTGTAAAAATTTAATCTACCTGAGTCCAGGATTCATTTGTCACAACAAACAAACAAATGCCTCTGGAGTCCTCAGAAGCAGGAGGTGGAGGCACATCCTTCCTCTCCTGTTGCTTCCCTGAAACTGGTATTTCAATGCATGCTGCCTCAATCGAATGGTAATACTAAAGTTTTCAAGACTTTAATTTATAAAAATTAAACAATAGCTTTTTATCAGCTTTTCCCCATTAGACTTATCCAGTCTTTTAAAACCATATTAGTGGACCTTATTGATTGTATGGTACTGCACATATTGTGTAAAGAAATCCTTTTTTCGCCTGTTCTAATCCTCTTCGAATCAGTCAGAGGGTTTTTTTCGTCCCAGAGAGGGAGACAAATTTCTCCCTGTCCGCTTTCTTCATGCCATGCAGCGTTTTATAAATTTCAAGCTAAACTGTCCCAATCAAATTAGAATTCCCCCTCCTCCACCTCGTTGTCATTTTGGTCACCTGTAAATCTCTCTGGGTGATTTTGAGCCAGTTACAATACTTTAGCCTAACTTCCGAAAATGCCTATTGATAGGATAATATCCAAGATCGGCGTTCATAAGGCTAAGCGTGAATTCCACCCCGAGGCTTATAAAGGATCGGTATTTAAGTAGAAATAAATATAAATGTGTTTAGGGATGAAGCCTTACAACGCGGATTCATGACACGTGGAAAACAGCTTTAGTAACATGATCAGGAAAAGGAAAAACGAGGACGATTCGATTACTCTATCCGCCGCCGCCCGTCACGATACCTACATTTGTAGCTGCCTTTTTCCTTGTCCTTTTAATTACCTCTGATCGGATAATAACCCTCTCCCCCCATGTTCCTTTACCCGTTCAGAAGGTACTTCAGACCGTTTACGGACCTAAAAGCCGTTCAAAACGCATTTACACCATCCGAAAGAGAATCTGTCGCAGGCTCTGCCGAACTCCTCTGCGATGCTTCCCAGAAACTGTACCACGTGGAGGCTTCTCGGGAGCGTCCATGACAGACTGACGTCATTATCCCGCGCCTAGAGGTTTCAAAGCCTGATTAAAAGCAGTGGTCATTTCCTTTGCAAAGGCTGCTGCATCATGTTGTTGTTATTAATTTTGATGTTATTTTATTGATGTTGTTATTGTTATTCTCACCTATCACCAACAGTCCCTGCATTGATAATATGAACGATCAATGAGAGATTCGTTGATTTTAAAAAGTGAAATGAGAAGGAAGGGAAAATCTGAGTTAGATCAGTCTGTGTCTGGGTTTTTTGTTGTTTTTTTTTAATTTTACAACTCTTATAACTACTGTTAACACGCGATGGATGTTACGGCCAAAACAGGAATGAGTAAAATTTTCGCTGAGGTTAATTTGTATGGGACTGGATGGAACAAGATTTGAGGCAAGTAATGAGATGTTTTCCCCACACAGCCCATTACTGTACTACATGAAGGAGGAAAATTAGACATGATCAGTTGATGGCTATTAATTGTAACTATATTGACTGTTCACGTGACTAGCGCTATATAGCCTATAATATCTAACCCAGTGGTTCTCAACCTGTGGGTCGCGACCCCATTTGGGGTCGCACGACCATTTCACGGGGGTCGCCAAACCACTCCGTCCGCCATTTTTTTTTTGCCCTTTTCCTTAGCTGTGCTACTCCCTGTGCTTGGTGGCAGCCTGCATGCACGAACTTTACCAAATGTGCCCTGCAGGAGGCGTGTGAAGAGCGCAGGCGCAGAGCAAGGCCCCACCCTCCCCAGGGATTCATTTCAGATTTAGGCGGCAAAAGTTTTTCTCGCGCAGAGGAGAGAGGAAAAACAATTGAGGAACACTCGGGAATCCCTTACAAGGCACCAGGTACCTTGTGCTTATTTTCTAATGCCTCCCCCCCCCCCGTGTTTTCTGCTCCACCCCGAATTCGCCTCCCTTCCACTCTCCTTTAGCAGCCATTTATGGTCTTAATACAGCCCTCAGTCTGTCTCCCTTTCCACACCCCCTAAAAGTCTTCCTTCAGGCAGGCTTCCAGAGGTCGGCTGGCAGGATGCAGGTAAACCCTCCCCCCTGTCCTGCTGCCTCCCACAGCGCCGCTCCGCGTCCCGTGCCTCCATGGCCCAAGCCCCCGTGTCACAGAACTGCTGGCGTTATGCTTGGGCGGAAGACTTTTTCTTTTACAAATGGGTCGGGTGGGCAGGCAGGACCCCGACCGCCGAGTCGCCGCCTCTCCATTGTCCTCCGCCAGCCGGCTTCGTCGCCAGACCTCCCAGTGACAAGCGCAGGAGTTCGGCGCTGCGGCGGCCTGCCCTCCGCCCTCCGCATGGCCAAAGCTTTGCCTGATGTTCCAGCTGACCGGCGCAGGTCCGGGGCCGGAATGCCCGGGGAAGGGGGCAGGCTCTGGAGGAGAGCCTGGTGGAGAGCCAAGCGGCGTCACCTGCGGGGCCTCAGAAGCCGCGCGGAGGATCCGCGTGCCTCAGAGCTGCTGGCCGTCCTCTCGCGCCCGCCAACCTGGAGCCCTCCATCCTCATCCCGGCACCTCTTGCCCTCTCCCAGCCACCCCTCCGGGACCTGCCCGCCCCTCCAGCCTCCTAAGCGCCATCGCAGCGGTGGGGTCGCGGGAGCCCCTTTCCACGCCGCACACCCCTTCACCGCCAAACCCTTCCCCAATTTGTCACACACAAGAGGGGTGCGGCCGGAGCGCCAGCTCCCGCTCGGAAGGCACCGCTTCTCCCCTCCCGGGCCGGCTGGCTGGCCTCCGACGCACATGTGGGCATCCCGCTGCCTCGGCCTCTTCCCCGCCGCCTGGCCGCTTCTGAGACCCAGAGCCCGGCGAGCCAGGAAGGAGCTGCTCCTGCCCGCCAGCCCCAGGGCTGCGCCGGGCGCCAGAGGGCCAAGGCGGCCTCCGACGGCGAGGGAGGATTTTAAGGATCTTTGAGAGGGAGAGAGAAATAGAGAGAGGGAGCTGAGCTGAGCCGGTCCTCACGCCTCCACCCGGCCCACCTCCCTCGCCGTCGGAG